ATTTGCCGATTCTTCGCAAAGTTAAAAAAAAATTATTGTCCTCTGAATGGAAACGCAAACCAAGAATGCGGGCAACCAATGCCATCGTTGTGGCTTCGTAGCTTGCCAGAAAGGGTCCCGTGATTAAGTGAATTTGCATTAGCGATTTTCATCACGATGGCCTTGGGAAATCTCCTTGCTGCTGAGATTAAATGGCTCGAAAGGGTTAAGGGATATTAAAGAGACTAGGGCATGTACAAGGGAGAATCAACCATTTGCAAGGAGTTTTCAAAGTTAACCAAAGAGGTTTCTTCCTCTTATCTCAGTGAATGCTGCATCAATTCAACTTATTGCGTTTTAACAAGGTCCTTGTCTTCGTAATTATTGATTATGATAGTATTATCATAAACTGTTGATGTGAATGACGCAAAATCTTTGTCTTCCAGTATTTGACACTAAAGTGCTGTAGGATCCCCCTACAAATGTTTTGTTCTGTGTGATCGCTTGAAATGAAATAATCTTGAGATATATAATTCTGTATTTATAAATCTTGGGAAACAATATATATTTATGTGTTTAATAATATGTATATGATATTTATAGTATAATTATAGTATATTATAGTTATTTAATTATATTTATTTAATTTTATTATAAATAAATTATATAAATTATATATATATATATTAATTATAGATCAACGTTTATTTTATATTGATTATTATTCTGTGATTCAAAATTTTATTTATTTCTCTTGTTCAAGTTATTTTTATATAATTTTATATATCTTTGACTGTGTATTTTATAGCCAATATAATTATAACGTAATATAATCACTTTAGTATTTAGTTTAACAGATATATAATCAGAAATATTATTTAATATTTGTAGAATATTAAAATTTCGTCAAGAATTTCATTTATGAGACTATGGATTGAGTAATAGTTCCTAAAAAAATTTTTAAATTCTGTTATTCAGTTGATAAGAATATGTAGCTATTTTATATACTGTTAAATCATTTTGTTCCAATCTGTTTGAACATATATTTATTTGCCAGTAATTTAATGCTTTCCAAAGTTATGTATAAATTGTATACGGTGATTGAGATTGCATATATTTATTCGATCAGAATATATATATATATTTTATGAAAAAATATTCTCTAAAAAATTCTCACATTAAAATATATGGTTCTTATTTAATTTTGATCATTTTGATATATTTATAACTTTTAAATTAATTTCCTATGTTATACGATACAGTATAAATATCATTGACAATCAAAATATTTTTCTCTCTTTAATAAATATAAAGATCCTTGACATTGTCTTAATTTTATTATTATTTCTTAAGATATACTGAATCTAATTTTCAGATTTTAATACAATACTTTATTATTTCAAGAAATATTGATTAATTGAAAATAATTAATACTCTAAATCCTAAGAAATTACTTTCCCTGGGGTAGTCGAGTAATTTCTTAATAAATTTTAATAAACATTTACTAATACAAATACTTTATAATACTTAAAATACTTTAATAAACATTTAATAAACATTTTATACTTCCATTTCATTTTTCGCATTTTGA